AAAATGATGAAAATCCCAACAGTACCGGAGAACTGTCCCGATACAGTTACTCATTCAATTATTTTTAGGTTAAGAGACCGCATATCATCACCATAGTTTGCAAATAGATTTTTATGGGAAAACCTATGTATGCCTGTGTGTATTTTTAATCAATTGTATGAAAGCCTCCGATAGCTGCTGGATATCAACTATTTTATAATTCTATCAGACATGCTTTTGATAAGTTTCCTATTTAAAATCAGAAAAATCGTTCTATAAATAACGCAGGTCATTAACTTTGTTAACAATTATTTAAATGACTTCAAAATTTTATATAGCTCCCATAACAATAAAATGTTATGTAGATAGTTGGTTAACGTGGTAGTTCTCTGCGTGCAAATGGTCAAGTAGATTCGAAAGGACCCTATTTGGACAGGATAACTCCACTCGTCAGATATAGTATTATGTAGTAGTATTAGATCCAGCCTGTAGGCGTCAGAAATCGGTCATTGCGTTTTGACCCAGATAACTATGAAGTAATTGCCAAGGAATCTGTTTCTCTTGGCAGCTAGAGCAGGTCATCCGCAGAGAAGATGCGACAGTATTCATTCCTATGTACACCTATTTCTAGTGCGTTTCTCATTGAAAGAAGGCCACATTAACTTGGCCTCTTTACATAAGTCAAGATTATTCCATCTATTTTTAGAAAGCTGTTAACACTACCTTTGATAGAACACAACGGAGTTGCTACTGAAACGGCATTAGAGATATCCAAAGCATATCCTGTACAGGCTAGCTCATTTGTCTGCTCATTGCCAAAGTAGTCCAAAAATCCTTTCTACATTGTCTGTATAATACCCCCCGGGGCATGTTTCCATGATGAAATGTCCATCATGGTGTATTGCAATCCCGGGGTAAAGAGATGCTACCAGTGTCTCTAGTCAGCCGGGACTATAAACTGGTGATGTCAAATGTATCCTCGGCTTCGCCTTGGAATGATTTGGCATGGGGTCTAACCAGAGCCCCATATAATCTGGCACTACGGGTGGCCGGTTGCCCACAGGACCTAGTCCTGACCGGTCAATTGGTTGAGGTTCCATCGGGATCCACGTAATGGCTGTGGTTTAATAACCAAAATCGCGGGGAGAGAATGTTGGTTTAAGGACTGATATAACCTATACCTAATGGGTTGGATAATTCTCTCTTCGAACAGGTCTGTGTACAAAACAGCATATGCTGGATTCCTAAACCCGATCGGTATTACTTACCGGTCGTGTAGTGGGACGCCGGTATATGCTGGGGAATTGTCAGGTTAGTATTCAATGGTTGCCTGTCATCCCGTAGAGCGATCTTTATGATCATGGGAATGGAACTGATGCGGAAATTGGTGAAAGATCGGGAATGTCTCTATATATTGGAGATTAGTACTGATTTAGTATGCCTTTTTACGCTTCGGGGAAGTTCTTCGGTGATGTTGCCATCTTAACAGGATATATTGATACATGCTACGCGACTAATTTGTCGGGGCAATTATTGGAATTAATTGACTTTGGAAATTCCTATTTTCTTTGTTACATTGCTCGGTTCATAAAAGAGGGATCCTGATCCATTTTGTTGGGTATTTCCGACTACCAAATATGTCTCTAGGTGCTGTTGCCAAAACAACAGAGCCATCTCAGTAGTGAGGTTGCGCGGGCCCAAAGAGGTTAAGGAATGCACTGGAATGGGTCATAAGATGATGGGAATTGCATTTTGAATAATGCAATCTTTCATGACATTATAAGGGTGGTCACCTTCCAGCTTACCGGAAGATTGATTTCACCTGATGTTGGGACTTGTCACCCCTTCTATTGACTTTAGACCAGTGATTGCTTTTTCCTTGTCGGGGTTTGCATTAGGATTGATCCCATGCTGCCTGTCATTCCGCAACGGGGCTACAATGGCAAGAGATTAGATAGCTCGAGTTCTTTAACAAAGTGATTGTACATGGACCGGCTCAGCCATGTACAAAAATGCTACCTGAGTTCTTCATTGAAGAGTTCAGGGGCGCGTGGTAGACCGTCTCTAGTCTACTCAGTGGATGAAAAAGACCACCGTGAAATTAGGCCGTCAAGGCTGGTGTTCACGTTAAACACTCGACATTCGTGTCTGTCTAATACGGATGTTGTGGTGTACGAGTAAAATGAAAGAAGTGCCGCTTGGCAGTCAGAGATGGCCATTATATGAAGATCTATATGTTGAATGGGCAGATCTTCTAAATGACTAGTTCTTAAAATATCTGTTATTCCAATAAATTTCTTTTTAGTTGAACTCCACCATACAAGATATTAATATGTAAGAATAGTACGCACCATAGCTGTGTACATCTATTGGACTATGTTGGGACTAGGTCACCATTTTAAGCCAAACATTTTACGACAGGCAACCGTTGCTTTCCTGGCACTGTGTTGGATGTTCAGTTTCCATGACAATTTAGAGTCTAGGATAACTCCTAAATATTGGTCATTGTTTGATAAGGGAATTTCGGAGTTCTTTAACCGCGGTAGGTAAAAGCTTGCAATTTTGGTCTTTCTACACGTTCTGTCTTGCTTGAATTTACTCTTAGATCACTGTCTGTGATATCACTAATCATATCTGTCTTGCTTGAATTTACTCTTAGACCATTGTCTGTGATATTACTAATCACGTCTGGAATGATACAATGTAAAATGTGATATCTGATAGAATGATCTAACATTTTTATCCTAAAGATAAATAAGGTCTTCGGGAATTTGATTTCAAAAAACAACAGACTTTGCTATATTTGAAGGCTCTAAATGTTTTGAATTTTCTATTTTTGATTGTCACGACATATTTAAATAAGTAATTTTTATTGTTACTCACTGTATGTTTAAACAAATTATGTACGAGTGCATTGTTTATACTAATTAAGAAGTCACTTGACTCCATTAACATTTACATACATACATATATACATAATTTACACATACCATGATTAATTATGGTTTATTTTTGTAAGAAAAATGTAATAAACACTAATGAATCCTTAAAAAGGTAACAATACTAAACTTGAAACAAATTTACAACACATAACAAGTAAGAGTGTTATATTCGGCTGTGCCGAATCTCATATACCCACCATCAAACCGTATGCCGTAAAAGGAATGCTCCCCTATAATGCTCCATCAGCGTAATATTTGGAATATGACTTAAGTCAATTATGGCCCGAGCTCTTTTGAACTAACAAAATATTAATTAAAAAAAAAAAATATTTTATTTCAATTCTTAAACCGTGAGCGTCAATGCTGAACCGATACTCATAATGTACATAAAATTTTGTACATTCAGGGCTATACTCGTATTTTAAATAAGGAACACTCGTAGTTTATTAGCCAAAACTCTTTCCTGAAGGGAACCTTTTGTGTATTTCCGACACATTCTGCATGAAATTCGGAGCGAATTTCATAACCGTATTTCATAACACATATTTTTAAGCCAGTAATGATCGTTTAAGTAATTTTCTGAAGGGGACCTTATATGGGCGGTAGGGTAAATTATATACCGATCCTCCCTAAATTTGGTGGAGAGATTAAACTTATGTGCGTCAATTTTCGTCACATTCATATTTTTAAGCCAGTAATGAGCATTGTAGTTATTTGCAGAGGGGGACCTTATATGGGGGAAGGGTCATTTATGAGCCGATCCAAAAAATTGGTACAGAGGTTTTGGCTCGTAAAAAACTTACGTGTGTAGCATTTCATCGTTTTACTCGTATTTTTAAGACAGTAGTAAGCGTTTAAGCTATTTCCTGAAGTGGACCCAATAGGGGGAGTAGGGCCAATTATGGACCTATCCACATAAAAGTTATTAAAAAGATTTTGATTCGCGAGGAACTTTATTGTGTAAAATTTTATTGCTATATTCGTATTTTTTAGCCAGTAATGAACGTTAAAGTCATTTTCAGAAGGGGACCTTATATGGGGGATAGGGTCATTTATGGGCCGATCTTAAAAAAATTTGTAGAGCGATTTTGGTTCGTAAGAAACATACTTATACCGAATTTCATCGCTATACTTGCATTTTGGGACCAGTAATGAGTCATCGCTATACTCGAATTTTTAGGCCAGTAATGAGTGTTAAAGTCATTTTCTAAAGGGGACCTTATATGGGGGGTAGGGTCATTTATGGGCCGATCCTAAAAAAAATTGGTAGAGAGATTTTGGTTCGTAAGAAACATACTTATACCGAATTTCATCGCTATACTTGCATTTTGGGACCAGTAATGAGTGTTAAAGTAATTTTCAGAAGGGGACCTTATATGGGGGGTAGGGTCAGTTATGGGCCGATCCTCAAAAAATTTGGTAGAAAGATTTTGGCTCATATGGAACTTATTTATGTCGAATTTCATCGATATACTTGTACTTCTAAAGCAGTTATGCCCGTTAAAGCTGTTTTTTGGAGGTCCACTTGTATGGGGGATATCCGAAAAAGTGGACCGATATTGCCCATTTTCAATACCAAACAAACCTTAACAATGGAGAATATTTATGCAAAATTTCAACTGTCTAGCTCCTCTCGTGTGGTCCCTATCGTGATTTCAACAGACAGACGGACAGACGGACGGACAGACGGACGGACATGGCTAGATCGTCTTAGAATTTTATAAGGACCCGGAATATATATACTTTTATGGGTCTATGACCAATATTTCGATGTGTTACAAATGGAATGACAAAATCAATATAACCCCCATCTTTTTTGATGGTGGGTATAAAAAATGTGTGTAGGGTGATACAATTACTTTTCAACAGCATTTTTAAATAATTAATATTGTAATAAAGTAAAGTAGGATAAACACGAGTCTACGATAGCCATACTGATCAACAAATTAGAATAAGTACATCATATTATCGTCATTATAGTCGTGTAGGGTATTAAAACTTTAAAACGATGGAAACATTTTCGCTCTAATTAGTTTATTATATGAACAATGTTTATTAGCTCCAGTTGATTGTACTTACATTAACTAAATCCTGTGTAGGTGTTTTAGTCACTATATCATTAGTTGGCAATAAACGAGTAATGCCATAACCGCCAACACCACCATTCATATGATGATTCGCCGACGGAAGTAGACCATTTTGAATGCTATTTTTTCCATTACTGGTGGTGGTGTGAGTGTCTGCAACAGCCGCACTATTGTAGGCCACAGCTTTATTGTTATTATATGGAAATGGATGTTCCGCTGTGTAGCCATCAATATGTAGGACACCTTGGTCAATTACCTGTGAGGGTAATGATGCATGTTGTTGTGACAAAGTAGATGTAGAGGGAGTTGAACTAAACGCTTCATGTGCTTGTTCACGACTACGCAGAGATTCCTTAATTTGTCGGGCATCAGTACCCATTAGTTCACTTAGTTTACTTTGTAAATGTTCTATCCAAGCTTCACAGGTGGCTAGGCGTGGACCTGGGCAAGTAGCCTCTAATTTACTAATTTTCTCATCGAGACGTACAAATTCCAGGACAACATCTATGGGATTCTAAAGTAAATAGCCGGTTAAGGAATTAAATAAAATAACGATAATTTCATCATGTGAAATTATTAAAGCATACAAACTCTCACACATACACATTAAAACACACGTATGTATAACATATTCACACTTTAATTATTGTTTTCTTTTTAGTTGAAAATACAAATAAAAACAACATAGAAATAAGTAGAATAATTAATGTCTATTTAATTACCGCTTGCGTTAAAGGCCATTGGTTGGAGGGCAGGGCCATGCCAGCCATACCCCCCATGGGTTCGTCTAAAACACTATTTGTATCCATTGAAGAATTACAGCCCATCATTTAGTTACAGAAATTAAAATTAAAACGACATTTTCTTTAAAATATTTCATTTAAACTTTGTTTTTATTTTTCACTTAATTTTTTTTATTATTCTATAATATAAAATGGTATTTTTTTGTTATTTGAAAAATTCACTTGTTATTTTTCCGTTAATTTTATTTACTATGTATTCGCGTTTAACCGTTTTAACGTCCAGTTTTTGAATGACTACAAAACATTCATGTCAATAAACCATATTCGTGCAATGTTTTTGTTGTGAAGAGTTTTTTATTTCTTGTTGGTTTTGTCCTGTTACAGTGGGGAGATTGAGGTTCTTTACAAATTCAAAAAAGAAAAAAAAAAAACATTTCTATGTATAGGGGGTGGATTAAGTTGTGTCCATTGTTACATCCGTTGTGGGCTCCAGATATCAGTGAGATTCAAGTCTTTAATAATTCTATTAGACATGCCTTCGAGAAGTTGTCTATTTAAAATTTGTAAAATGTTATAGTATATAAGTATTCGGGATCCTTATAAATATAAAAGAGTATGTTGAAATGAATTTTCTGAAGGGCCCACATAGCTTTCGAGAAGTTTCCTATTTAAGAGCAGTAAAATCGTTCCATAAATAATGGAGATATAAGCGAAATTCCCAAACAACCAATGAAAACATGATGCTTTTTTCTCATTCTTGATTTTTTCAGAAACTACAGCAGTTCGCTCAACAAATTTTGTCATAGGTCTTTTTTCAGCCTGTTATTATTTATTGTTATTTTGTTTGATCGAAATGTTGGTCACAGACCCACAAAAGTATATACATACAGTATTGTTCGAAACCTAAGCAACTTTTTTTGGCATTGTATACAAAGTGCTATATTTTCTATTTTAATTGATTTATTCCATATTATATAATTGATAATAATAATATTATGTGTCTACATTATAATAACAACAACAAAAGTTTAATTCCATTTCGCTGTGAGTTACAAGAAAATAATAACTGAATTAACTCCATAAATAGCTGTTCGAAACTTAAGCAACTTTTTGATCTTCTTATGAAAATCTTTGGTCCTTTTAAGTTTCAAACACCTTTATGGAATAGATTAGTTACTAGTGTAGTTCGTAATGAATCCCAATCGGATCTTAAGCCATTTGCCAGCTGTAACGTTTTCTAAAACTGCGAGTTTCGACCCAGCGCTTCAGAATGCCGAACGTCATCTTTATGACAATCAAATCATTTTTATGGACAATCAAATAATTTGGGTCCCATTATACGACAACTACTCTTAGATCAACTTTACCAAAGGTTTTGGTTCATTATCATGCTGAAAATCGCAATAAAGTAAGTTGTTCTGTTCGGTGTACTCAATCATGTACTCATTCATTTTGTTGGCGAAAAACGTCCCAAAGGGAAAAACAATCCAACTTTGTTTGTGTTTCAACATCAGGACTAACTCTTCTCTTCAAAAAACGTGGCCAGAGCCTTAAATTTTTCCTCTCCATTCATGATTGTGCCTTTACTAAAAGGGTATATTGTAATATTTCCTTCAGCCTTTGAGCCTCGCATACTCTGTTTGAATTTAAGAAGGAAAATGTGGAACCGTTTGTAAATAAAACTGTTTTTATTAGTCTTGCGTAATCTATTTCAATATTCTACCCAAAATTTTACAAAATTTGTGAAAAAATCGAATTTCTATAAGTAAACTCTGCGCCATGTCACTGCGGTATTCATATGCGGTTATATGATCGTACATTAAAGGCTTAAAAAAACATGGAGGTCAAACAATTAAGGTTGTGGGCAAGATTTTTGGTGAGTAGAGTAAGCCTGATGTTGAAATGTAAATAAAATTGGATTGTTTTACTTCCTGGGACATTTTTGGCCAACAAAATGAACCATAGGATTAAGTACATTGAACAGAACAACTTACTTTATTGCGATTTTCAGCATGATAATGAACCAAAACCTCGATCCTCGCAAAATTTTGTAGAACGATTTTGGTTCATACAAATCATAGTTATATTGAATTTAATATATACTCGTTTTTTTAGTCCGGTAATGTGTGTTAAAGTAATTTTCTGATGGGGACCTTATATGGGGAATGGGGTTACTTATGGACCGATCCCTACAAACTTTGGTAGAGAGGTTCGAGGTCATAAAAAACTTCGTTGTGGCGAATTTTGTCACCATACAGTTATTTTTAAGCCGGTAATGAGTGTTACAGTAATTTCTACAGGGGACCTTATTCGACATACCTGTTTATGTCGAATTATATTACTGTAGAGTTATTTTTTTGACAAAAATTATCATTATAATAATTTTGTGAAGGGGTCCTTATATGGGGGGTAGGGCCAATAATGGTTCTATGACCGTCATAATTCAGAATTTAATTTAAGGAGTCAAAAAACTGACTTATATTTGTATGGGGGCTATGTGAAATCGTTGACCGATTTTGCTCATTTTCATTACCAAACATTTCTGACTAACAAAGAATATCCCTATCTATTTTTTGGTGGACGCTATGGTGCCAACAACATACAGGTGGACGGACATAGCTAGATCGTCTCAGAATCTTACGAGGTCCCAGAATATATATACTTTATGGGATCTGTGAACAATATTTAGGAATGACACAATCAACATATATAATACACCCCTTCTTTTTTGATGGTGGGTATAAAAAGTTTTATAAGAATAAAACCTCTTTATAAAATTTGATAAGGATGGGTTCAGAATTGACCCTATCCCCCATATAAGGTCCTCTTTCGATAATAACATTATGATTCACAACCGGCTAAAGATTACTGATGAAATTCAACATAAACCAGTTTTATAGGATTTTGGGTACGATCTTTACTGGCGAAATTCGGCATAAACAAGTTTTATAGGAACATAACTCTCTCTGTCAAAATTTATGAGTATCGGTCCATAATTTACCTTATTTCTCTTATTAATTCTGTAGAGATCGGTTTAGAATTGAACCCAGCTAATATAATATGGTGGCTATGCCGACTATATTACTATTGCTTGTTGAACTTAGTTATCGTAATAAATATTAGTATTTGAAATTATTTCAATCAACTCCACTGTGCATGTTATAATTCATTTTGTAGACATGTGAGTAAAATGTTACGATTACCTTTTTGTCCATATTTTGTTGTACTTTTTTGAGCCATACATACACATGTATTTGCTATTCGTATAAAATATTCTCTTTTTCATATTTAGTATGGTATACATACTTACGTACTGACAAATTGGCATTAGGAAAGTTGAAAAAATAATAATAAATAATCCAAAAAAATTAACAAAATATCGGTGCTTATTTTTCTTATATCAGTTCCAAAAGTTGAGAATCAAACGGCTTACAAAAGTAAATTTTTCATGGGGACATGCTTATACTTATACATATGTAATTTAAAGGATTATCAATGGCTACGAACGGCTCCAAAGAAATTTAATATTCTTAAGGGAATAAAGTACTTTTTACACATGTAATAAATAATAATGTTTGTTAAAGTACGCGTATAATTAATGCAGTTTGGTTAAAAAATATGACTACATATTGTTTATGTTTGAAGTGTTGTCCCTTTTTATGAGAATATATAAGGGTCTATACATTAAACATATGTTATTTTCTATGCTATATTTTTACTAGCATCTGTTCAAATTTACAGTTAGTTTATTGACATGTTAATTTTAGTTGATTCGTAGTGACCGTTAATGAGTATAAGTAAATAATTTCAAATGCATACATAGTAATGGTAAATTAAAGGTGGTTTCAATAAGAGCGACGAATTTAATTTTCTTATGTGTTATGGAAACGATTTTTATTTCAAATGAAAGTACAACCAATGCCATGACAAGTAAATATGATGGGTCCAATTGAAAGAATTGCAAACCCAACTTCATTCCTATTCGAGAAATATCAAAAACAAAATACTTCGTACCTGCTGAAAAACCCATTATCATATTGTATATTTATTACTTTATTTTGCTTTAATGACAAACAAAAAAGTGCATGTTTAGTTATTTGTCCAAATATTTTTTTTGTTATTGTCAATATTTATACCCTACACTGTAACAGTAGGGAGGGTATAATATATTGAGGGTTTGTGCTGGTATCTATAACACAAATTCGGAATATTTTTTTCATTTATCGTCAATCCACCTGCCGGTCATGTAAATTATTGGAACCAAGAATAAGTTTATATTATTATAGGGTATCATATAGTCATGCTTGATCGATTTCAGTTTCATATGTGTGTCTGCAGGAAGGTGTTGTTTTGACACAATTTTACTTGAAGTGACAATTATCCATACCGCACCTTTTGAAATTTAACAAGTAAGAAATTATAGTCGAGCGTGGCCGACCATATGATACCCTACACCAAGTGTGAATATTAAATGTGATTAATTTCAATAATGAAGCATTTCTGTTAATCTTATATAGGTTCCAAATAATGTCTGTTCATGTACGGTTGTATGCTGACTAGGAGAAATAAAAAACCGATTTCAATAATTTTCAACAGCCTTCGTCATTGGATCCAGATATGTATGTGACCCATTTTAACAAATTATATTCAAAATTGTGATCTGTTGCGTGCACACAAGGTTTACACGGTCACAAAGACGCACATAGCTTAATACGGGCAAATATTTTTGAGTGTTACAAACATCACCACATTGTGCCGACTTTTGGATAGATAGTAGTATATTAGACGTAGTTAAAAGATAAAAAGCCTTAATCAGAAGGTCCGCATGTATGGGGGCTAGGGCAGAAATTGAGCCGATCCTTATAAAATGTATTATTGGGAATTATCTATATACATATATAAAAATGAATGTGTGTTTGTTTGTATGTTTATATGTTTGTGTGTTTATATGTTTTCTTCAAATTTTCACAGCGTATTCCTGTATATCTGGCAATAGGCTACTTTTTATTTCCGATCATGGCGAAAAATTACAGTGTTATTTATAATTATATCAAACTTAGTTGTGCCGATTTTTGGAGAGATAGTAG